AAGCTTTATTGGGGCGGCAGTCTGCAGCCTGCCAGGACTGACACACAAAACGGAGACTAGCCACAGAATGAGCTGAGCTGGAGGCTTATATAGGGTCTTTGCATGTGGGAGAGCATGTAGTCCTTTGATGGGGGTGGGTGATTGCAGTTCGGGCAAGGAGCAACAAATCCTGGTTGGGGGATGGAGTAACAGGCTCCAGGAAGTCCTTATCTTACAGGGACACTGGTGGGGCAGAAAAGCCCCTAACTTAGTAGTTGGTCATTAACTAGGAGGGGTCAAGTCTTAGTTATGTGAAAGTCCCTGTTAACCTTTAGGGAGGAGGTCAGGGAGAAGGGGGAGAGAGCTTGTTCTGTGGGGGCTTTGGAATATCTAACAGTAGAGACTCCAGAAGTTTGGAGAGGGCAGCCAAGAGAAAAGCCATGGGAGCTACAATCACTGGTAGTGCCATAGGGGCGGAACCACCAGAGCCCTTTGGAGTTCACAACTTGCCACAGATTGCTGGGGATGCTGGGAGTGGGACTATGAGATATAATGTTTGCCCTGCTGGGTTTTGGACTTGCTTTGGTCCCATTCCTTTGTATTCCCCTGTTTGTAACTTTTGGAATGAAAATGTCTATCTTGTGCCATTAAATGTTGGAAGTGTTTGACTTTCTTTTCATTTGCACAGGGGCTTACAACTAAGAGTTTGCCTTAATCTCAGAGGAGACTTTGGACTTGGACTTTTCAGCAATGCTGAAACTGTTAGGACTTTGGCAACTCTTAGGGATGGACTAAATGCTTTTTTTTTTGGATAAAGGGATATGCATGAGTCTTTGGGGGCAGAGGTGGAATGCTACCGCTTGTGTTTAGATGTCCCCTCAAAGCCTCATGTGGATGAGTTGGGGCTTTTCAGAGGTGGCTGAACCTGGAACACGTGATGCTGGGATTAAGGGCATGCCATTACTAAACCACTACAGGTGAGTGATTGGTTTGGCACTGCCCTAATCCTGGTAGTCTGGAAGGGATAAAAGGTACAGGAAGATGCCGTTAAGGTCTCTTGTTGCTTTTGCTGCCACTGTGAACTGTTGCCCCTGTGAACTGTTGCCCCTCTGCCACCATGTTTTGGACTAAAACAAGTTATGGACTAAAACCTCTATTAACTGTAAGCCAACTTTGTACATTGTGTATTTTGTCTCAGCAAGGAGAGAAAAGTAACTAACACACTTTAAATAAATGAAACCATATAGTGTGTATCTTTTTATATCTCACTTCTCTTACTAAGCACTATAGTTATGAAAGCCATCAGTGTTGTTGCTGTAGCATGAGTCTATTCATTCTCATTGGTCTAGTATTTTGTCACTGGAAGAAAAAAAATCCCAATACATTTACCTTTTTTGCTGTTGGTGAACATTTGGATTACTTAAAGTTTTTGTCTCATAAACAATGGTTTATAAATGTGTACATAACTTTTGCTGAACTTACGTATTATTATTGTTGATGCTGTACTTAAGTTGAATTGATGAGCCAAAGAGTATACATATGTTTAGCATTAGAAAATTTGAAAGTTATCCAATATGATGATGGTGATTCACACTCTGGTTTGAAAATATGGGTTGCTTTACATTCTCACCGTTGCTTGATGTTGTGGCTTTTACATTTGAGCTTTTCTGGTCACTGTATGAATGGCATTATTGTAAAAAAGAATACACATTGTAAAATATAGGAATTACGTTAAAATAACAGAACATATATTTTTGTATTTTGAAGATTAATATATGGATGATCTTACTGGGAAGTATCGAGAGCAAATCACATATATAAGTACAATGTACAATATTTTAAGGATAGTTTTTCTATTATAGAAGATTGCAATTGCTTTAAAATATAGTATCTAAGAACTTAAATAAAAATAAAGCATTTTGTACTCTGTTTCATGTTTTATGGGCAAAGAATTCTGATCAATACATGATTGCAGGCAATTTGACCACTGGTTAATCTACATCAGCATAAAAAAAGTGCTGTGATAGGGAGTATATTCATTCATGTGCTAAATACTCTGAAGCATTTTCCCCCAAGGAAATCTAAATTCTAGTGTCATTTATTAATTCACCTCCATTATTTCCACAAACTAAGCGTTGGAAGGAAGTCTACTTTATTTCTTATTGCATTAGAGCTGTTAACATAGGTCATTCATTACTCTAATTAAACATACTCACTATGTACCTAGCTCTGTGCTGACCATGCAGCAACATCTGGTTGTCAGTTATCAAGACAATTGGTGGTGGTAACAAATTAACTGGCTGAGAGTAGCTCAAGCAAAGCATTTTCCCCACATACTGAGACATATTTGATGGATTTAAAGCATATTTACCAGTTAGTGGATGGTATTATTTCAGCTGCTCAGCAATAACTTTATCCATCTCTGCTCTATCATCTGTAATGCACCAGCCTTCATACTCATGTGGTAGCCTCATCATGGAAAGATGGCTGCCATACTTCAGGCATCACATCTGCATTCAAGGAATTAAAGAAGAAAAGGGGAGGGAGATGATTCCAGCAATATCTTTCTGTATTTACCAAAATAGTAAAGAGCCTCCAGAAGCCTTCTGCCTATATTTCTGTATAGGAAGAAATGATCCTCAAAATCAGAGATAAAGCAATACCCAAGGGAATATAATAGGTTAATAAAAACCCAAATAATTATATTTTATAGTTTCTATGGGTCCAGAATTTCACAGAGGCTTAGCCAGGCATGTTGGTTCAGGGTCTCTCATAACATTTTCATTAGAATGTTGACAGAGCTGAAATCATGTAAAAGCATGACTAGGGCTGGAGGGATCTACTTCTAAGATAACTCACTGCCAAGATGGCAGCTTGCAGGAGCCTGTTACTGACCCCGTGGGCCTTTCCAAGGTCCCTGTGTTGTCTTCATACAACATGACAACTGTCAGTGTGATAGTACTAGGAGGTGGGGCCTGTAAGAGATGCTTAGTCCATGAAAGTTTCTCCTTAGTGAATAGTTTTAGGGCCTTATCAAAGAGGGTATGTGACTTCCCCTTCTACCTTCTGCCCTATGATAGTGTGGCAAGAAGACTCTCACCAGAAACCCAACATCAGTACCTTGCTTGGCCTTGGCCTTCCCGCCTTCACAATGAAGAATGAATTTCTGTTCTTTATAATTCCCCAGTCTCAGATATTTTGTTATAGCAGCACAAAATGAACAAGGCAGTTGCTTTCACCTTCTGCAGGGAGGAGTACCAAAGAATTTGTGGTTATATTTAAACAACTACTGCTTCCTTAACCAAAATGAACTCACTTGTTCAGTATCATTATAGTGGAGACTGGGAAATAAATTTACCACTGAAGGCTGTGCCCATTCTTACCTTGAACAACACCACTAGCAAGAAGAAAGAAGAAAGAATATTGGAAAGTCAACTAGTTCAGGAATTTGTATGTAAAAGAATGTTTCTTATCTGAAGGAATAAACCATTTAAATAGATACAAATATTTTTGAAAAACAAGGCTTTTTAGAAGGTAAAAAGGCAATGACCCAAACTGTTAGACTTCAAAATACAAGATGAACCAATGATCTGGCAAACAAATGAGAAACAACACACAATACAAGCATAGATTCTAATTTATAGGAAATTAATATGGAAAGGAATGAGCTTTTCATAAATGCTATTGGAAAACTTATGTTTGAATAAGATCCATTTACGGGCTTACTATACAACAGAATAAATTCTAGATGAATTCAAAAGCAAAACATGAAAGGTGAAACCACTTTAAAAAACTGGACAAAACATTAGGTAAATATTTACCTGGTCCCAAGTGGGGAATTACTATCTGAACATACAAACAGTGAACTAAATAGCAAAGGAAAAGATTGATTTTAATATTTAAAATTAAACATTGTATGTCAAAAACAGCATAAAAATTTAAAATCAAATGAGAAGATTATGCATTATTGATTGTTTGATGGGATATATTTATTAACAAGAAAAAACCTTAGCTTTGCTTGAGGTCTGCGGCCCTTTTCAATAGAGTAAATATTTCAGAAATTAAAAATAAAACAGTGGGAGGATATTAATATATAATGAGTTAATATAACTGATAATAAAACCTCTATTTTCTCCATAAAATAGGCAAAAACATAAACCTACAATTCACAGGACAGACAGAAAAAAAGGCTAATAAACAGGAATAAATGCTCAATCTCATTAGTAATCATACAGATAGAAATAAAAGAATAAAATTTAGTGTTTTACTTATCAGAGTAAAATAGATTGTTTGGTGGAAACACATAAGGCTGGCCATATAACTGAGACTTAAAGGCTAGGACTGCTGATACCTATGAGTAACTAAAAATAGGAAAACTTGGCATCTCTTCCTCATTTTATACCTGTCTCCTTTATTACCTTAAAACTTTGGGTCAGATCTCTGTTCAGCTTTGCAGGTAGATATATTCATCACTTAAGGGATACCTGTCTAAAAATTAGTAAAATGAGATTTATTAGCCCCAAATTTACCTAACCTGAATTGATTCCCTTCAAAACTGAGGACACCGAGATAAGAGTAACTAAGGTATTTTCAAGATTTTCAGGGACTATCAGTGTCCTGTTCCAGACCCCTAGAGTGGCACCTGTAAGTCTCCAGTCATTGTCTAAAACCTACAGTCCACTTGGATTCTAGGAAAAGCAGAGCCTCAGGTTGTCCTAAGGTGAAATCACTCTCTAAGTAGAAGCAGTTACCCTGTAACAGAACTGAGGCTCCCCCCCTAAGCAGGAAAAATAAGTCACCGAATAGGAACCAGATTGTCCCCTCAAGCCAAGAGGACTTTTGCAGGACAACTTGCAGAACCATTCCAGAGGCAATGATCAACCAGACCATGGCCTGACCAGGATTACTTATCTTGGCAGCTATGCAAACCTCACAGCTAACCCCAAACCCTGGCCTTTGTTCCCTTTTTCTATAAAACCTTGAAGTTCTGTCAGCCCCTCCAAGACATGTTGAACCTCTGTTCTTCCTGCTGTGACCACACTGGTTACAGCCCATTTCCTGCCCTTCACCACTGCGCAGCTGCTTACTTGACGTTTTGGGAAGTGTGGTCTGTTGTGATCCCGGGAGCTGGGGCTTTGCCCTCAAACTCTGGTCACAGCCAGAGTGTGGTGAAAAGAGGACTACCTGGTTCTGTTGGCTTTTGCAAAGCACTTTGTCAGTCAAGGCTCTTTCTCAAGAGCCTTCAACAGGTTTGTTCCTTTTGCACCTGATAATTTTTCTTATAAGAATCTAACTAAAAAAAAAAAAGAATCTAACTTATTTCTAAGAAAAATAACAGTAATATACCTTAAGATATATGTATCTCAATATCGCTTATAGAAGCGATATTGGGGTGTATCTCAATATTACTTATAGAAACAAAGAGAAAATTACCTAAGTAGATTCACAGCTAAAACTAATCGTGGAAAACAAATCATGGATGGAGTATTAATTTGTTGTTAAAATATTTTAAGGAGTTTCAGTGACTGTGAAATATGTTCATAACACATCTTTAACTATAAAAGCAACACATAATACATAAAGTATATGTAAAAGTATATAAAGTATGGATTATGTATTGGTGTATTATGTAAGGATTTTAAAAGTGTAGGAGAAAATAGAACAATTTTATACTGTTTCCGGAGATTTTTTGGAGTTTGTAAAATTATAAAAACTTTGAGCCTTGTTTAATTTATGCACCTCAGATTTCCTCACTATGTTGCTTTTGTGATCAGAAAAAACAATACTCAGTAAGCTCTAAATGGACTACTTAATTCTATTATTTGGCCAGTATTCGTGCTCTTAAGGCATTGCAGTGTATGTGTGGTGAGGAGGTGGGGATTTGTGTACTTGAATTCTAGGGAACTTACAAAAATGATAACACTCATTTTGTCAAGAAGTGGTAGATTAAATCCTACAATAATGCATTAACTCTTTCAGGTCACTCAGGGACCAATTAGTGTATTATGCTAAGGGGCACTAAATCATATCCTACTAGCCTGGAGGAGACCAGGCATATCCCGAAGCACTAACTCACATTACCACTGGGAAGTGATTCAAGTCTGGGAAGAAGCTGGCTCACTGAATATTAATTGAATGGGTGAATAAATGAAGGGAAGGCAAAGGAGGGAGTTAACAAGCTAACGTATTGATTTTTTACTCTGTGCTAGGGGCTTTCCATTCTTTATCCCATTTAATTCTAATGGTAGCCTGATAAGACCCCTCTTATAATTACCACCTTGCTGAAAAGGAAACTGAAATTGTTCTACATAAAAACAGCTTCCTGCTACTCCTTTTGGAAGATTCTGGCACTGACTTTAGTCAGTCACTTACGTGCTGTGGCCAGGCCTTGGCAGAGTCTTCTTTCAGGCTAGCTCATTCATACAATTCCACAGTTCAAGAAATGCCTTTTTAGAGTGAGGTTTTTCTGAGCATATTACAAAAATATAGTATCCTCAGGGGAGAGCTGGTTAGGGAGGGGGAATTTATTCTTTTTCTGAGTAATTAATTAATAGTATTAATTAAATAATTTATTATTCTATACTGGAAATTGAACCCAGGGCTTTTGCACTGAACTACATTCACCAGCCCTTTAATAAAAAAGTTTTTTGTTTTTTTTTCTTGACAGAGTTTCACTAAGTCCTTATGTTGTCCAGACTGGGCTCAAATTTGCAACCTTCCTTCCTCAGCCTTCTACAGTGCTGGATTTGCAGGTATGTACTACCACACCTAGTTTAAGAGAACATTATTATTTATTTATTAAAAATATAATACATACAATAAGAAAATAAAGGAGACAACAGCAAAAGATTATTGGTACATAGGAGAACAAAAAGAGTCCCCCAGGATAGAAAAAGACAGAATAAGGGCCAGGGTTATGACCTACTGACTGCTAGAATTACTAGGGTGTCGCCAAGCCACTTCTCCTTTAGTGCTCTGAAGGGGAATAAGAGACACTTGTAATGTCTGTGCTGTGTTTCTGTCTTGCAGAAAAGGAAATTGGTTTGTAAAGGAAATGCACTCCTAACTCCTTTCAATAACAAGAAGTTGTAGCATAGTAAAGAGGCTAGTGTAGGCTTGTATAGGGTAGTAAAACTGTCAAAAGAAAACACAATATGGGGTCAGACCCATTTTACATAGGAATCCTGGGCCAGGGGATGAGCTATTTCTATTTAGAACATATTTTTTTTAAAGTGAGGGGCAATTTCCTGTACGGATGCTGAAATACAGCTCAACGTTTTAGACAATTAGAAGTTTTCAGTTCAAAGTTCTTCATCTCTAGAATTTTTGTTTTTGAAAATGAAAGCATGAGTGACACTTCAAGGAATAAGAAAAATTCTAAAAGAAGCCTTTTATTCCTTTAAACTTCTTAGTTTAGCTACATTTTATATTTAGGCTCTCAAAGAATTAGGGGCAAATATATTCTTTCTAGAAAGAAAATCCAAACTACTAACATCTCTAAATAGATTTACACCCAAATTATAGACTGTGAGTCCACAGGTAACTTTATAAAAAATCATCCATAAGGCCTTTTGTATTGGAATCTTTTATAAGATACTAAAACTCCTGTAGGAGGAAGGAAATAATGATTAGGAGTAAGCAAAGTTAAAAGATATTTTCTCAGCTGGAAGCTGTTAATACTTCAGCTGATAGAGACTTAGAGAATAACTCCTCTGTTGTGTGTTTAAAAAATAAATATACAAGCACTGGAATAATTCACAAGATGAGAATTCACAGGAGGGAGAAAACAGCTGAGCAGATCTGAGACTGATTGTTTTTCTGCTTATGGGGATGTTGCTCTTTTGCTCTAAGTCTTGGACTCACAGCTCTTCTGGATGTTATCTCCAGTCCTTTGGGCCTTGTCTTTGAGCAAATACATATTGCTAAGTCAGCTGATGGCTTCCCATTTTCATAGAAGACAGATAATTATTGCAAATAGACTCTATCTTCTAAATCTTCTTTATGTTTAGGAAAAAATATAATCCTTTTTTTCTTTATATAAAAACAGTACATGTTCATGAAAGTCTTAATACAGGGAAAGAAAGAGAAGAATGTATACAATAAACCTACTAGGGAGAAATAATCACCAGTTAGAGGTATAGTATATATCTAGTCTATCTTTTTTTAATCCTAGGTAGTATTTTTAACCAAAAAAACCCTTCCTCATATGATACACACAGTTATAAAACCTTGGATCTGCTCTCCTACCCATCCTGATGAGTAATAGTTAAAAGTCTACACTTCGGAATCAGATCCAAATTCCATGGTGTTCTAAGCCTGCTACTAACTACCTGAGTAACAATTTACTTCTCCACAAAATAAAGTTACCTGGCTTGAATGGTGATTTGAGGATAGAGATAATGTATTTAAACTGTCTGGCATTACTAAGTTTTTAGTACATGGAAGGTATTAAATTTTTTTTTCTTCCATTTTCTACCTCTACCATAGTACTGTAGTGTGTTGCTTTTGCTTAGTTTTTTATTTTCTCCAGTATTACTAAAATTGCATATATAATTCAAAAATATATATTCTTAAAATGTTTCCTGATGAAGAAAAAACTGGAGTTTCCCATCTGTGTACAATCAGCTGCATTAAGAAAAAGCAGCACTGAATATGTGTAGGTTTGCGTGCCAATTAAGTTTTACTTTGGAATGCAAAAATTGGGGATGCTTTGGACATATCAGAACAAGCTGACATTAGAATGCCTTAAGTCACTAGTTTTACTGCATCAACTCTGACTTTTTAATTAAAAGTGTTCAGCCCCTAATAATCAGGTCACTCCTCTGAGAGAGGAATCCAAGGACTAAGAAAAGAACACCTTTACTTCTGTTTTAACAGCCTTGAAAAAGACAGGAGTGTGGGATCAGGTCCCATTGTGATGGGCAAGAGTAGGAGGTGACAGAAGATTGAAGCTCTGCTAAGGACTGCAGCTCCTTTGGGACATGTTCCCTTGTTCAGGTTCTCATGACCTTGCCTGAGACAAGCAAACGAGGTATCTGACTATTAACTGTGAAGTTACAGAGTGAAAGTAATCACATATAGAAACCTGCCTATTATTTATCATATTCACATTCAGGGAATGGTGGGCTGGGAAAATGTACCCCAAAACTGGGGTAATAGGGACAGAATGTGTGGTCAGGGGCCCTTTCCTCTTCTCCTTGCTTGGTTCACCCAGTAAGCAGAGCAATTTCTTTGTCTGCACGCCGTGTATAAATGGCATGTGTTATTTAGTTGACTAATGGGTGAGCCTGGGAAGATTTAAAAACCTTTTCATTATGGAAATTTTTAAGCTTACACAAGATTAAGGAGAACAGTATAACAGATCCATGAACCCACCACACAAAACTTCAAGCAGATTTCAACATTTTGCCAATTTGTTTCATCTTTTGCTCTGCCATTCCCCTTCATTGCTTTATGTGTTATTATAGCTTTCTAAAGCAAATCTTAGAAAAGACATTCTCCACATGCTTCAGTAGGTATCTCTAAAAGATAAGGATTAAAAAACAGTAATCACAGTACCATTCATACTTAACAAAATTAGTCATAGCTCCTTAATATCACCTAATATCTATTTCAAGTTCAAATGCTCCTGATTGTCTAAAAATAGCACTGATTTGTTCAAATCAGAATCCCATAAAAGCCTGCTCATTGCACTTGATTGTTAATTCTTAGAAAATTCTTAATAATAACCATTCTTCCTTCTCCACCCTCTATTTTAATGCCATTTCATTTTTTTTAAGAAACTGGATTATTTTTCCTTTGGAATCAGAACTGCTTTTGAGTGAGCTGTATTTTCAGGTCATAAATTTTTTTTTCTAACTTAGAGGCCAATATAATAACAGTGTACCTATGAACAGTTAATATCTAATCGTGGTAAGACTCAAATGATTGAGTGATCAATGGACAAGGGAGAACAGTTTCACCACGAGATATGGAAGACTGCAAATCACTTCTTAATTAATTACTTCTGATGCGGAGAAACTTAAGTGACAGCATAGCAGGATAACTGCCTTGTGAATGACCTTAATGATCACATTTTTGTTCTTTCTTTGAAGAACTCTATCTTGACCTATGGCCATAGAATCTGTAAGCCCTGTCATCAGACATAAAGATTTTTGCATGTAAGACTGTACTATCTTCCAAATACAGTGGCAGGCCCTTATTTATTTATTTTGCTGGCATTACAATGATTTTTCCATCTATAGATTCTTTTACCACTTCTAGCCAGCCACTTGTGATAGTTATTTATATACCTACTATGTGCTCTGTGTAAGAACAGAAGTATGGTTGTGTCACTCGAAAAGTCTGCTTTCTATCCCAAATTCAAACTAACTCTCTAAGGTTTTTAAAAACTACTTAGTTGAGGGCCAGGAATTTAGCTCAGTGGTTCTGCTGCCTGCCCCACAATTCCAAGGTCCCAAGTTCAATCCCTGGTACCAAAACAAAACAAAACAAAAAACTACTTGGGGCATGATACCACAAGATTCTGGCATGAACTGGAAAAGAAAAATAGATTCTTGTATAAAAGAAAAAAATTGATAAATGAGATTCCATCAAAATTTAGAACTTTAAATGACATCATTAAAATGAAAAGTAGTCCTTAAACAGACCATATTTACAATGCATATAACCTATGAGCAGAATATATAAAGAATTCTTAGAGCTCATTAAGAGACAACCCAATAAATATGTAGACATAAGAAGATGATAAATAGCCAGTATAGCCCAAGGAATGGTGTGCAATTCTAGAATCAGAAAACTACTAATCAGTACAATAATAAGATTGAATTATATACTCATTAGGGAGATGAAGTTCAAAGTTTTAAAAGCCTTGTCAGGACTTTTCTTTTTGTTGGATTCTCCCCCTTTGCATTGAATTTGTCATACCCAATGGATTCATTCTGCTGGGTTTCCTGGGGTTGTGATCCTAATTGCCTTTTCCTGAGGTATTGTCTAAAATTTTTTGGAGTGCTGGTTTGGTATTCATGAAGTTCCTGAGGTGCTCTTTATCATGAAAGTATCTTATTTCTCCATCA